AACTTTTCCTTTACTGCACTAACCATCATCTGGTTGAGAGAGCTAAGACGTTGTTCGATTCATTACAGTTTTGGGTTGTTCAGGGACGATTTATGGAAACATTGTATCATCCGCTCAATCTGACTTGCGTTAATGAGCATTTTTGGATGAAAAAGTGAAGTTTTAAAAAAAGTGAGTTTCTTTCCAGCATTAGGGTGCCCGGGAGTCACTTGGGTAACCTTTAAGAAAGTATAATATTGACAAATGATAGGCACTTTCTTTGTACTTTTGTCGGAAAAAAAATTATTACAGCACAGAGTCGTCTCTTTTTACGTTGGAGATGAGCAAAATAGCGAGTTTTAACTGCACTTCGGCCACTATGGCAAGTCCTCACTCGTTTTATTGTGGTCAGACGGCTTCGTGGTGAGCGGCTAATGAATATACTAATCGTTGGACAGAAATAACCATCTGATTTGGGTCATTTCTTTAATAAAACTGACATTTGTTGTCATTCCCCAATACAGATGGTAACCCAGAGATCTCGTACCGTGGGGGTAATTTAGAGCCACAGCGGAACATCTTTTCGTTCCCGACATTTCTCCCCCGATTTTCTTTATTTAGATCTAATTTTCTGATTTCTAAATCAGATGTAAATTAGGTCGGTATGTCATTTGTCCTAATTACAGTTATCAAAATTTGATAATTTAATATTAAATGTATAATTTACGGACTTACTTATATGAATTATCCAATTTGTATCTCCGAACTGTGAAACAGTACGTTCATGCACTCGAACATATGGCTATATGACTCGGCGGCCAAAATATTTCCGGGTCAACCTACCAAAACATAGCCAAATGGCCAATCAGAGCACTCGTTTCGTGAGAGTTCGTTGGTCAAGCTGGGCTGACTCGTACGTAGCTACGGTAGCTATTGGACGTTCGAATAGAAAAAATGAATATTCATCAACTAAAACCAAGACGGATAATGTTGACGACGAGACTTTCTCGGATTAATCATTAATTTAGGATCTAACTGAGCAATAAGTCCAATAAGCTATATATATGTTATTTTTAATTTTTATTATAATTGCAGCAGTTATGAGGATGTAAAAAGTGAAAATCTCGTTGCATATCTCATTCATCGCGGTCCGGTCGAACCGAACCATTTGTTTCGTACAGTCCCGTACAGTCCCGATAGGCCATACTTCAGTCTCTATAATCGGAGGTCTAGTGGAGCCAGACGTAGTCTCAGTGGAACAACCGACGATTAGAGAGACTGAAGTTTTCGGTCTAACTAATCGTTAGCTTTATTCTGGTATTAAACTTGTTTTGATTGGTTGTATGTTTTTGTCGGAATTTACTCATTCAAATATTAATGGAACTACCTGCCGATGAAGCCAGTGGCCCGTGATCACAGAACTGTAAATATACGTAGAAGGCTCATAGTCATAGTGGTTCGAAAAATATGGCCAGCGCTCGTACGTGATCGCGTGCTATCCGCCATCTTCGTTAGCCCTCTTGTTGTGTTCGCCGTTTTTTCTCAACGACAGGAAAGGCTGGAATTCTTGAAATTTGTGAGCTGAAAAGATCGAGGACTAAAGCAAAATGGCAGCGTGTGCACTCGAGCGTATCTTCCAGCACGTTCAACGGCCACACGTCGATCTGAGTGTTCTACGTATTTTACAGTTCTGTGCCAGTGACCCCTGCACTCAACGTCGTCAACTGCTTTTATGAGAAAAATCCAAACAAACGTTTCCAAGTATTTCATAGGCATACAGGACAGGGGGCTGAGGGATGCAGCCCCCCCCCCCCCAAATAACCTTTTCGGGCACGCCGGACAACCTCAACCTGATTCTGGCAGTTGTGTTATATTCAAACAGCCTAGTATTCTGTTTATTTGTTCACATCTTATTTTGTATGTCATGATACAAAAACATAAAAACAAAACTTCAAAACAACTGAATCCAGTTGAAAATAACATCTATTTGCTTTCATTTGTTCATTATTTGTAATATCAACAAACATATATATTCAATACAAAAAACAGGTGTATATACATAAATGTAACAGCAATTTTGAGAGCGTGTTTAGTATTAACACAATAAATAAGGCGTATATCAGTATAGCCTTGTGTTGGATACGTGCTATAGAACAATTCACTATAATATCAGACCAGCAGAAAAGAATAGACGACAAAAGGGAAAATAAATATAGAGTAAGGAGGTTGGAAACGTTCTGCAAAAGTTACATGATAGCTTGCGTCTGACCAAGCTGTATAAAAGGTACTATATATGACAATAAAATGGTTAGATTTGCCCTCTAATACAGTGTAACTATTTGTCTTGAATCTGGAAGTTGATATTCAAGCTACAGACATGTATATTAAATTATACATTATTACATGAAAATAATAGAATAAATGTTAATATGTTGGTACAAAAATATCAAAGTTGATTGATAGATAGCAGCCAGAAAGGAAGTTTGAATTTGAATTTTGAATTTATTAACAACAACACATCACAATAATGACAGTACATACGGACAATCATACAATGCAAACAAAAAAATAATACTGATACATGTATACATAACATATGAGTAATGTCGATTGAACAGTAATGGTTTTAAAACGATATTTTTAGACATACATTTGCATACTATTAAATGTACAAAAGATGTATACGTAAACATGTATATTACTATATTTAGGTGAAGTTGTTAATGGGAACTAGAAGTTAGCACAAGTCCTAGTCGAGCCTAGTTCCATTCTTTGGCAAGATTTTTTTCTGTTAATTCGTTTATACATAATTACATATGAATGTAAAACTTGTTTGTTTTTTATTTACATATATACAACAAAATAATACAGTATCATGTAACTGTTTTACATACTAGAATGAAAACAGTTGAAGTGTTAAAGCATTATAATAGAAGAAGACAAATCTTTGAACAAATAAAATCATCAATGTGTTCATAAAAATGAAAAGGATGTATTAATAAAAATAATCATACAGATGTGCGTACAAGCACAAATCCTGTAAATGCTTAAGGCAGCTATAATCGTTTACAAGCAAGTGTATACATACATAAATGGAAGAAAATAAAATAAAAGAAAACGAAGGGGTGGGATTGAGCCCATGTCATTTTCATAGAAGGTAGGTGGAAAGATGTCTCTGAAAGGATAACCTCGATGATTTTAATCTAATTTCATCTGGGAGATCATTCCACAGCTTTGTCCCTACAAACGAAATACAAAATTGCCCTTGCTTTGTCTTACATTTTGGTGATAGAGTAAGCCACTTTCTTTTCTCCTAGTTGCATATCTGTGCTGTATCATCTGACAATAATCCACTAAAGAATGTGGTAAAACACCTTTTACCACACCATTTTAAGTGGCCTACCTCAATAAGATAAATTTAGAGTTAAATGTATGTACCATATTACAATGACATGATAAAACAAAACATTCCTACCACATATAAATACTCATCACAGTGCGTGACATACAATTACAGATCACTGAAATTAGAAATAGGTTCAAATTAGATTAATATTTTGCAAAAATAACTCTAAGTTATTTGTTTTATATACTTTTCATGTTTCATATTTATTTAGATTAAATTCTGGATTTATCATTATCTTGTAAGAAGCCGAGTTGGTAAACCCTCTGAAATATCTTTCTTTAATAGACTTCTACTGTTGCTGTTGATAAAACAGCAAAACGTGACGAAAAATCGTAAAGTTATTACCCTCGCCACACAAACTCCTTCTCCTTGCTCGGACGAAACAAAACACCAGGCCAGCTTCTCACGAAACCGTCAGATGAAGAAGCTCACCGAAATCGCGGACATCACAATTAACACGCGTTTCAAAGAGATGTCGGTGAACTTGTACTAATGACGGTCTCGTGAAACGATACCCAGACCAAAAGGAAACCGAACAAGAAATGGCATTTAAATCCACAGAATGGAAAATAAATGGTCGATTTGGAACGGTTTGTGAGGTTGTTTTGGATTCGTTTCGGCGGTGTGACTGGAGTATCATGGTCTAACTATCATATGGGGGTAAAATAATGAACAAACAACATTTAAACATAGGTTCTCTGTACATAATGTGAAAGAGACAAAAACTGAATAATCACAATTTTTTTTTTTTTAAAGGATCCGGTAACTTTGTCTTAGATCCTTTTAAAAAAAACCTTGATTTAGCTCATGGTGCAATGATAATTATAAAACTTTAGGTCTGTCAGGAACCCCATGACTTTTACAAGCCGATCGCCAGTCTGATAACCAAGATATTTATGATTCAAAATCGAAATCAAATTTTGTTTTAAAACGGTTTTCATCACACTACAGTCTATTCGGGAAAACGAGTATGGTAAAACCGGTCACTCACAGGTTTTTAAAACTTTTTTGAGGCACTTTTTGATCATTTTGAAGCGAAATTGTTTTAGGGCTTCAATATAACGCCATATCACAGACACCGATAACACGTAGGGCCGTGCATCTCAGATTTAACATTTTTCTTTTTTCATAGGTTTTATTTTCTTCTATCATAAAGAAAATTATACATAATTTATTACATTGTATACAAAATAACAAAATAATCTTCACATAGGTCTAAATAAATTTGCAAGTGAACTTTTACATTTCCATACAAGGTTACGTTGTTAACCGACTCCTTTAATACAATTGAGAATTTTTTAAATCCTCTATAGATCGGCACCTCTAAATATTAAAGATCACCTTTTCATTTTTGTTGTACATTTATATGTAAAATGTTAAAATAAATATCTTAATTTTTTTTCAAATTATGTTTTGATGATACTATATTTGTTTTACACACATGAGACCCGATAAGAAAATGTTAACAATTTTATATTTCGGCCACATACAGGTATGACAAAGAAAATTGCGGGTTGATATTTATTAAGTACAAAATGAACCGAGAGTATCTGTAAAATCACAACTTTTCAGATTTTTCTCAAACTTATAAAGACGAATTTCCCTCATTTTTCTGCTTTCATTGCAATTAGTGATACTTCTTTTGAAATAATTTGTTTTTTTAATGAGTTTGTATAGGAAGAACACAAATATTATCAACAATATATTAAGGACAGAAACTGAAAAAATGGAAAAACAAACAGACAAAACGAAATATCTCCAAAAAGTGAAAAAAATTACTTGGGTACTTCCGACAAGTTCCATGCCATTTCTCTCATGTAATTTGCCAGACGGAAAGTAAACATTGAAAACAGAAAACAAGATATCACAGTCTATCAAATTAAAACATAAACACTTAATTTGATATTCGATTTGATAATACTTTTACAACATATATCATACGAACAATAGGTCGACTTTAGAACTCTTATCTTTTTATTGCGCAATTCTAAAAATTGCAAGAAGAAGAAGAAGTTATTTTGAAAAAAAATAATTTCCTTTCATGGGTCTGGGTTAGAAATAAAATCTATTATGATTATTCGGAAAGTGATCTAAAATGCATTGTAGTAAATGAAGAAAAGAAAATCAATTGTATTAAACGGCAGTAGATGTAGAGTACATTACTAGGATTGTTTTCTCCGACTGTAAAACAATCTGTAATACCACCATTAAAGTGTGTCTACATCATTTATACATTTACAGCAGCTACCAAAAGGGCAGATTCACAGGTAGAGTCTACATCAACAGCAAAATCTTAAAAGACAAACACATCAGAAATATATATTTTAGAAAATTTAAATCTTTCAAATTACTCTATATGATCTAGAAATGTAATTTCTGAAACAGTCACGTTAATTCCAATTCACTTAGTTCTAACTATAACTGATTCCATTGGATGTCATATATACTGAACTCACAGAAACACAAGGCCTGTTCGAAGCTTTTGAAAAAGGGGGTGGGCATGGGTCCAATTTTTAACGACATGTTATGTTATTCTAAATTTTCAACATGCCTGTTTTTATCTAAAAAAAACATGTCTGGTCGCGCACATCCCCTCTACTGGTCTGAAGACAGTGATATCATACAGTGCAAGAAATGGAGGAGTCATCCATTATTTTTAGTGGAATATATAGAGTCTATCAGGAGTGCAAAGAGCGATCTCTCCTGATAGGTACTGCTGGAGATAGTACCACCGTCTCTCGGGCTTCTCAATCTTGTAATCAACGACGAGGTTCTTGATAAGCTTCAGCTCGTTAGTGTACTCAGCAATGCTGACCAAACCTATGTCGTACTTTAACTTTGCTATCAGGATTGCACCCCCTTGAGACACAGCAGCGAATGGGAAATCATCTAATTCCGTTAATTTGTATTTTACAACACCTTGTTTGTCAATCAATCGTATTGTATAACGAGATCTGGTGATCAGGTAATCATTATAGCTAGTAATCTGCTCAGGTTCAAATCCATCACATGATATCTCCCTGATCGCCTCCCCACCTGCTGGTGAGAACACCTGGATCTTTTGAGCTTTTCTGTAGCTAACATAGATCTGATCATCACCGTCTACCGTGATGCCAGCAAAACCACCATCATCGGGACTGATAGTCTCAAACATTACATTCAACTTTGTTTGCTCTATTGTGTACAGTGTGATATTGTTTGCGCCACCAAGTACAACATACCGATCATCAGAGAGGAACCCTACTCTACGAATCCCAACATGTTTGAGAACTGTCTGTTGGAGCTGACCATCAGCAGAGAAGATCTCCACGCCACCACTACTACATCCCACTGCCATCTTACCTTCAGGGGTACCAACCATGACTCTCATGCTATTCTTAGTAGGCAAAGCGATGTTCTTTTCAACTGCGGTTACGATCTTACCAAGATCTAGCTCTTCCATTCCAACGTTTCTGTTAAAAATTACACTGTTTCCTTTCTTGCTCGATTGCCTCGGCTGATGGTAGTCAGGAATTTCTTGTTTTAAAACCTCTTGTAAGTCTTGACATAGAGTGTCGTGTGCAGCCAAGGCATCCATATCTAACGGTATCTTTGTCTTGTTGGTTACCACATCAGCTATGGTGGTCAAGTGAGTGATGTGCACCTGAGCTGATTTCTTCATTTCGTCCAGTTCTTTCTCTACTCCTTCAGTCTTATCCTTGACTTCATCAATGAGGATTTCTTTCTTCTCTGTCAAGTGCCGGACCGATTCTTCATATGCTTTGTTGATATCATTTGTACACTGCTTCTGAACATTGCTCACACGCTCCTTCTGCTCATCAATGAAATCAACGTATTTCTGAAGGCAAGAGCTTTTCTTGTCCGCCTTAGATTTGAGGTCCTCGATATCCTTCATATGACTGCTTTTATAAACAGCTGCGTCGATGACCCGATGTCTTTCGTTTGTATGCTCCATGACAACACACCTGAAGCAGGCAAATCTCCTGCAGTCGGAACAGAAGCACTCTTCATCCTCATTTGGGTGCTTTCTACATTTACGGTACATATGTACTGACACCTTCCCTGATAGGATCTCACTCATGGCTAAAACCTTATGACTGATGCAGTCTGGCCGCTGAGAGTGTTTGTTGTGGCAAGTGATACATAGATACTTGCCGCAGTCTTGACAGTAGACAACATTTTGGAGTTTGTTCTCGGATTCACAATTCGTGCAAAACTGATATTGATTCTTCACGTCTTGTATGAGAGACATCAAAGCTAGATTTGTCGGTAATTTGCTGACATCTTGGTTTGAAACCTGGGTTTCTGCTCTGCAGACAGGGCATCTGAGTATCTGGTCGTTACCATTGCATTTCACGATGTTGTCCAGGCAATCCTTGCAGTAGGTGTGAGAACAAGACAAGATTTTGGGATCGGTGAAGGTATTCAGACATACAGGACACTCCAGACTCTTAGCAATGGTGTTCTTTAATGCATCAGCCATGATTTGAATTCTACAAGAACACGAGATAATGAAAAGGAAAATAAAATGATAAGTGTAGCATTGATTCATTTAGCGTTGAGTGTTTATCATTTTACTCACGCCTTTCTCTTCCAGAATATGACGCGCACAAAAAACATACACATAAAAAAAATTCAAGGGGGGGGGGGTTAACCCCCAACCTCCCCCCCCCCCCCCCCCCCCCCCCTGCGTACGCGCCTGCTCCCAGTACATTTAGGTACGATTTTCATTTGAATCTCTGCATGCGTCACTGAATATCAGACAATCTTCACAAGACTGCCAGATCTCACTTGCGCCAAGTTATTGGGTGAGGAATAAAACAAAGACAATCAGACACGCGCACACGCACACACACCCACTCACACACACACATGCACACACAACACACACGGTGACAATTGTTTCATATTTTCTGATTGAGCATTGATTTTTATCAAGATCACTGAATGTTTATGGCATAACCCTAAAAAAAATTCCCGTTTGTACACATTCACTACCACCATCATGTCATCATCATCATCATTGTCATCATCATCATCATTGTCATCATCATCATCATCATCATCATTATCATGAAGCATAACATCCGCCAATACGCACCAAAAGGACAGCGGCCACTCAACTTTTCGTACGATAAGAAGAATTCCCGACAAAAAGTAACAGTTTGGCTGGGCCTTGTCTGGAATGGAATGCTCATTTGAGTGAGTGTGCATGTGCGTGTGTTTTTGTCTATCCGGCTAATTGGATAATTGAAAAAAAAATGGCTGTCTTTGTTCAAAACATTTTTTTATCCTCACCTAGCAACTTGGCGCAAGTGAGATCTGGCAGTCTTGTAAAGATTGTCTGATGTTCAGGCATGCACTGGAAGGATAACACTATCAAGACATATCATGAAACACATGATTAAATATTTATACTTCAAACAATACAACTTTTAATAAGTGGGACATTTTTTCTGACTCACTCTGTATACCCTTTGCCTGCACAATGTAATGGTACACAGTTCATAAGTTGTATTACATACATGACATGTATTTAGTCTATCTGTCTATTTCTAGTGACTGGGAATTCCCATCAACCTTTGACAGACAACCGGATTGAGATCGCCCAATAAAACCTCGATTTCCGTTTGCCAAGCGTCCTTGGACCAGATATATGCCCTGCGCACGCCCCCCCCCCCTCCACACACACATACACACAGTACAAAAACTTACATTATGGTGTTAGTGCCGGGCTGGGATTCGAAACCCCAAGTCTTGTATTTAGAGTCAAGTGAATGAACCACTCTACTACACTTCCACAACTAGCACGCACATAAAGTTAAAGCCCCACTGTCCTACTTGTAGCTACTTGCTCCCTCTATATAACTCTATATAAAACTTCCCCAATCGGTGCCTGTTGGTCCCCCATGATCCTCTTTTTCTTATGTTAGTTGAGAGCTGAGTTAATGAGATAGCCACCTGTCAGGTCTAATCCCTTCTGGCTCAGTAGTATTGACGGTCTTTAAAATGCTTACAATGTGTATTCATATCTATACATGTATAATCAAGGGCGTTTCCAGGATTTTTAAGGGGAGGTGTTTTTTGCCCAATTCGTGAGAAAATATTTAGCTGCAAATCAGCCAGCCGGTGAATAAGCGGGGGGGGGGGGGGACCAGCCAGCCGGTGAATAAGTGGGGAGGGGAGCATTAATTTGATATTTGCTCAACGGGGGGGGGGGGGGGGGGGGGATGAACACTTCTTTTTGTTTCCCTCAACATTCACACTCCCCTTGAGCAAATTAAAAACACAGCTAAAGGGTGTCTTTAAAATTCTTAAACAACCCATTTTGCAAAGGGGGAGGGGGTGTTTGAACATCTAAAACACCCCCTCCCCGGCCCGTAGATACGCCCTTGCATGTAAGTATAATAGATCATTACACGATTGTTATTCTGATCACTATAACATATATACCAACATCGTCACATTTCCCCCCAGGACAAACAAATACTGACAAGTTGTACGTACGAACGATATCAATATGATCAGGAGTTTTCTAATGCGGCAAACATTACTTCCTGGTTCACGATGTTGTGCAGCCTGTTTTGTCATGGTTTACCAAACTGATTCTAAACATACGCCATTCTTATCTTGGTCTTAGCTCAATCACTTTCTATTAATCATCTTCGAGACATCTAGACCACTGAATTCTACACCATGTGGCGAAGAGTTCAGTGATCTAGACTCCGTCTTGTTATTACAGTCTAAGATAATTTTATAAACTAGATACAAACAAAGCCTATAAAGCGTCTAAAAGTCTGCCTAATTTAGTGTATATACGTCCAAGACATGTACAAACGAAAGTATTGACAAATGTCGCCGCATTTCTTTTGGAAATGACAGAAACATTTTAATTCACTCACCTCTTTATACGTATTGGTCTAATTGTGATATAAAATCGGTAGACATGTATACCATTTACCTTTACGATGTAGTGGTGCACTGATCATAAATGGATTGGTATATATACATGTATGTATTTGGTGTGGCAGTCTATTCTTAGGTACTGGGAATTTCCACCGACCTTTGTCAGACAAGCAGATTGAGTCCTAAAAATGATTGCCCAAATAAACATTCGATATCATTTCGCAAGCGTCTGTAGAGGAAGTATAAGCCTGTCTCAAATTTCAATTGTCTTTCTGTTAGCCCCACCCCAAATTTAAAACCATATCCAGAAAAAAGAAAAATTATCTACATGTAATAAGGAGAAAGGTTCAAGCCAAACTAAATTTTGAGGAAGATGGAATAACGACTCGATCACGATAAACATTGTATCTACAAAAGTAACCTGAGAAAATTTCATTTATCATAATAACAATATTCCGCGTTTATATAGCGCTTAATACAATGTCTCTAAGCACTTTACAGATATACTACAATTCTCACGATATAACAGTGGTACAACTACGTTACACAAGCTCCCTATAGAATAAACAACTGCTGCCCCTTTAATACACACTCGCACCCCCCCCCCCCCAATCGAAAAAGTGTGGGGGAACAGAGGGACCTAAGGCGGGCCCCTGGATGCCCATCTGACCATAATTAAATGCTTAAAACCCCTCAGCTTCCGGGGGCTCCGCCTACATGACCCCACCAAGGGCCCATAGGCGGGCCCCTGGATGCTCATCTGACCATAATGTAATGCCTAAAACCCCTCAGCTTCCGGGGACTCCGCCCCCTGACCCCACCGGGGCAAAGCCCCTGGACCCTACGCCAATTTACGCTCTACGCCTGATCGTTAATACTCCACTTTGAAAACACGTTCCGCGAGGCGTGCGTGTATTACATGAAAGAGTTGGGGTGATGCAGTTTTTTCTTCTTCCCTCCAAAACTTGTTACTCACTACGCCACTGCCCCTGAAAGGTGAGCCCCGTTGAATGTTTGCCCCCCCCCCCCCATTTCCTAAACTGCTTCCGGCGCGCATACTCTGGTAGAGGATTCGCATGTATTCCTGGAGCACGTTTTGGTGTCTGATGACAACCAGAACGATGGCATTCAAAATCACGCGGAGGAAAATGATTATTATCTTATAGGTTACAGGTTCTTTATCAGGTATACCAACGTTTGTATGGTTTACCATGTTCAAAGCTTCCGTCACCATGTTAGTAGCCATCTATACAGGAAAGTCCTTATACTCGATCAACACGGTCTAAAGTTTCGTGTGAGTTCTTATGAAACCAAAAGACAGTAAGCAATATGGAAGGGCTGTTCAAAACTGTTCAATTTATTTCAAACACAACAATTCGCGAACTATTTTCTTTCTTCAAGTCAATCAGTTTCTGTGGCGTGTCAAGGGCGAAAAGCAGCTAATGGAAATGTGATAGAAAATTGATGCTGGCTTTTATGTATGTCCTGAATGATTCATTGTAAGTCTTCCATTAGTGGCCACCGCGATGACGGTGATCAACATGAAAAGTAGGCTCCTATTATAATTGGGTTCGTAAATTAAGATGTCGTTTACTTTATACAATAGGTAAGTGACGGCTTAAGAAAGTTCTTGTCAAAATATGAGACCGTTAAACATAACTATGGAGTTTAATACGTGAATGCTATTTTTATAACACGACCATCGCGTGTGCCTGAATTTAGATGGTCTTCCACGACAAAACTGTGGTGGTACAAGCGAATTGCCGGCGAATCTTCCCGCCTCGCTAAGTGGGAGCCCTGCTTATGTCAAACAAAAATGATACATGACATTACAAAATATATAAATATTAAGATCATATTTGCAAAAAGTGTGATTAGTGTTTCATTCTTGCTGTTCTTGCTTGATTGTTCATGTTTGCTCGAATTTTGACGACACATCTTGGGTAGTTGCATTCTTCTTCTTCTTTTTTCTTCGTTGTTTTTAATTAAGCAATTAGTCAGAATTGACTCTTCTACTATTTATAAAAAAATGTGAAATAAAGGATAACTTTTTTTGTTCACGAAATTTGATTTTCTTTACATCCTCACTGCTAATATATACAAAATTACCGGTGACCAGTCTTGAAAACGCGCTATGGCTCCAAATTTCCAGCCTTGATTTCGCAGAAAATTGTCGAAGAAAAATTGACTCTTTATTAAAGTTGAAATGTGATTTCATCATACTTTCTAGGGATAATACATATATAAGAACGCAAACAGACTATCTTACTCCCAGATATGGTGTCCGAAACCGAGGCTACAGCACGTACCGGCGGCACGCGTTTACTTGGCTAGCTCTTTGTCTTCGCCTACAAACTGGCGCAGTCAACCCCGGCTCGAAACTGAGTCTTGTTTTTTCGGATGGTGATGTAACAGGTCGAAAAAGTATAAACATCTGGTTAGGAGACTATAACATTATAGAAATGGGACAATTTGATATCATAGCAGGCTTGGGAGATCAACCCTATGGGTGGTATTCTCGATAGCTGACTAACTTTAGTCCATGGTTTACTTTAGTCCATGGTTTAAACCTAGTTT